CCCCCGCCCTCCAAACGAACATATAATGTTTCTCGGGTACAAAATCGATATGTGAGGCTTCCCTTAGAGGAAAATGTTTAATAATTTTTTAGAAAAATTTCTGTAACTTTTTGAAATCGTATTTCCGTGCATTTTAATTATATTTCACTATATATTTTTCAACTTATCTGAAAATTTAGCTAAATATAATCAGGTGGCGAAACATCATGTATACAATTTAATACACTTCTTTAATATAATCTTTCACTTGGAATTGCATATATAAGGTCAACAATTGTTGTAGTGATCTCACTCAAGGGTCTTGTAGATGGGGATTATTGAGTGGAAATTTATATACATTTATTAAACTTAACCAGGAACAGTTGCAAAACAGTGCAACTATGGCCCTGTGATTCTGGTGCAGCGCTCTAACAAACTCGGATTCTAACCGATAACGGTGCAGTGCTGTAGCGTTGTTTACACTATAAAGCTATGCCTAGCATTCTGTTATTTATAATAGCATTACCGGTATCAACTACGGACCACAGACCACTACGCTTGGCACTCTGGGTGCAAATCTGTATGCTACACGGCTATACGGTATTAATTTAATTGCTGTAGTGTAACATAGGTTATAAAACGCAGCCAAATATCTACATACACTGATACACTTTGTAAGTCTAAATTGGTATATAATTTTATATATAATATATAACTCGATATAAGCGCTGCTGTTTCAAGGCATAAAGCAGACAAACAACTCATGAACTGGCAGTAAATAATATGCTCATACTTTATATCGCAGAAAGATGCTAGAAAAGATATACAACTCCAACTCCTGCTTTCGTGAGATAGCAGGAGTTCAACTTTGGAAAACAGCCGTTTTGAGCATGCGCAGGGCTAATTATCCAATCAGAAACCAGGATTTCTTGTAATAAATATTGTAGCAATTCCTGCCTTCGGCAGATAGCAGGATTGACACACGAGTCGCATGTAAATCAACATATTACCTGGAAATGAGAGCTGTAAGTTGTTGCTGAAATGAGATGAGTTGCAGTTGCTAGGTAACAGGGCTGTAAAATAGTGTAAATGTAATAGAAAGCAGAAAATTAAAAAATGAATAAAACCATTTACACACTATTGCACACTATTCATTTACACACTGTTGGACTATTAAGATGGATGCACTCATAATTGCATGTCTGAGGTCATACCTACAGCACAGGTAGGCTAACATTCTTTCTATTGATTAGAATTTTTAAAAAAAAATTTCTGAATTTCTCCTTTTATCTATTAAATTTTTACGATTATCTTTTTTTTCTTTCTTCGGGAAATATTTTCTGGGAACTCAAAAAATTTTCTGGGACCAATGGTCCCGTGGTCCGATACATTTTCCACCCCTGCCAGTTGCAGCTCTAGTAACGACGATGCGTATTTGCCCCAAGGGCAAATTTTAGGTTTGCAGCCTTACCATTTCGAACCTGTCATTGACACTATTCCCGAGTCGTCTGAATCTGATGATGATTACAGCAGTGAAGAGGAGGATAGAAGTAGATTGGACAACTTGGATTGGTAAGGTTTAATATACGAATATTTACTGTAATAAATAAATACAATTCAGTTCGATTTTTAAATATATCACTGTATTGAAATATTAATTTTCCTGCACAGGAGTCAATGTGAACACTGTCAAATCATAGACAGAGTAGAAGAATGTGTGTGCTGTCACGAAATACCTGAGATCATGAACAAAAACGAAGAAGTTTTTGAAACAGACAAGCTTAAGGAAAAACCGAATTGTATTACTGACAACCCAGGTTTTGCAGGAGGCTGTTTAAATCGCTGGGCCCTTCAAATTGCGTGGTATCATTAAAAGCAACAGTATGGGACAATGGCAACTGATGGTCCTAAACACAAACGAAATCGACATGTTGCTTACAGACAATTAACAAGATGGTGTTGGTGAATTTTAGGCAAAGAAATCAGAGTGCCATTGCCATCTTGTGCTGCAAGTTGCATACGAGCTCATTGTCCACCCCCTTGTTTGGAAGAAGATTTTGAATTTGAAGGTTTTCACTTTGCTGATGAATGATTGACATATATTTACAAAATATACATTTTCGTAGATTACAGAAACTAACTGTTATAGTTGTTTTGTTATTGTTTGTTATTGCTATGTAGCTAGCAAGACATTTTTTTACACTCAATTGTTGGGCTAAGATGTACTTTATTTAATTAGTTGTGAAGCCTTAAGCCACAATGTTCCCAGTTTGTGTCCATATTTAAGTAATAGCATGGCATTCAGTTTGACATAGCTGAAAGCAGAGGGAGGTTTACTTAACCTCCCGAGTCTTGAGGGACAAAGGAACATATATGTAGTCACCAATCAACTGCAATTCCATGCTATTAATTTGTAATATTATGGCTACCAAGACAACAGAGGCATAAGTTAAACCATGCAGTCTTTTGCATAAACATTAGGTATGATTAGTTACTAATCATACCTTAGGTAAAATTAGTAAATAATCGTACCTAATGTTTTATACAAAGAATTTCGAGGTAGCCATGATATTACAGCAATAATGTGCTAACTAATGGCAGGTGATGATCCCTAATTCACCTTGATACCTAAAGTGCAATAATTTGTATTGATAAAATTTTACTGTCGTTGCAATGGAAGTGTTGATAAAATATCGCATCAATTCATTACTTAGAACTGATCAATTCATTCATTGAAAAATTGATCAACTTCCTGTCTGTTTGAATCAACCAATGGCTTTACGTTTCAGTAACTGATTGACCAATTGGGAACAAGCATGCCAGTAAACAGGAAGTTAATCAATTTTCTATCAAATGAATTGATCAACTTGAGGAAAGGAATTGGTGCAATATTTTATCAACACTTCTATTGCATCGACAGTAATATTGTTAAAAATACTGTACAATATCACTTTGAGATCTGTGTTTTTCTATCACTGATTGTTTGCTTGGTTTAGGCTCTTTAGCTATATGTTTTGACATTTTAGGTGGTGCTCTAATTACCTTAATGCCATTCTGTTTTGCCTTTACCACATCCTCGATCACTGGAGACAAAAATTTGTAAGATTTGTGTTCTTTGATAGGCGTACAAACCCAACTCTTGTTTGCTTTTGGTTTTTCAACCTTGAATTGCTACATTAACTACAGCTTGAACCCGATTGCAATTATGGTTGTGATCCAATGCTGCAAGTTGAGTACGTGCCACCATACATCTGTAGCTGAAGTGCTTTCGTTTTGGTAGATACTTCAGCATAAGGGAGTGAAAAACTTCCAGTTCCCCAGTATGGCGGAATTCTGTCAATTTCTCCATATCTTTCAGAAGCCTTTTGTTATTCACCACCTCTTCCAGGGCAACAAGTTCAGGTGATCCTGCTTTCAGCCATGGAACTTGTTTCTTCTCTCGTCTACTAAGTCTATGATGCACACATTTCTTAAAGTGCTTGCACCCTCTCCAACTGTGTTTGTTGGAAACATGATGAATGATTGAAAGCCATTTCTCCTTCACTACTGAAACATCTTCATCACATGTAGACACACTCCACCATAAATGGTTTGAAACTGACTGAATCCATGGTAATAAGTCTTCATTGCATTTCTTCTTGGCTTTATTCTTTGTCAGTTTCTTTGTAACAGACTTTGACAAGTGCCAAACATCATACTGGTGTTTGATTTTTGGAAAATCAGACTTCATTCTAGCTGTGATGGTAACATGACGGTCAGTTGTTAGACATCGTACAGGTATTTTGTGTTTTATAAGCTTTTTTAAGGACCGTTTGCAACCCTCATATTCCATGGCGTTTGAAGAAGAAACTTCTGTCACTTGTACAAGACTGAAGTCAACTACCTTCCCGGATGATTCATCCATAAGTGAGTAAAACTATGTCCCATACTTTGCCGAATGACCTGGACTATCACACCGACCATCTCCTGCAACATTTCCTGGAATTTTCTGGTTCTTGATGTCTTTCAGTACGGTTGTGCCGGCTATTGTGAACCACTGGGATAACATACTTATCCTGAACTTTGTAGAAGGTGGCTTTACTGACAATTTGCAAATTGAGACAATGTGACTTATAGGAGCAAATGTATTTCCAGTTAGCAAAACAGCTGCTGGAATAGGTATATTACCTAATGGCATTTCATCCACATATGGTTGTGAATTCCATTCTTTAGTGTGCTCTTCAAAAACTCATTAATAATTCAGGAGCAAAACACAAAGAAAAATCATAAGCGTGTCGTGGTTTTATATGTGATAGAAAATCACGTTAATTTACATAAACTTTAGCTTTGATTTTCTCGGTTTTGACAAAGTTTATTTTAAAAATTACTTCGCCAATGAACTCGTATAAGATGAGTCGTTTTTGAAGCTATTTAAAGCACTTGTAGTCGTGTTTTATCACATATAAAACACTCCGCTACGCGTCGTGTTTTATATGTGAAAAACACTCCTACGCGTGCTTTAAATAGTACATTAAGGCATGTTGCTTTTATGGATAACATGCTACCTTTAGTAATTTTCTTCATTTCAACTACAGCTTGTCCACATGTTGAGCATAAACTAAAAAGTTTATCCAGTTCTTTCTCATTAACAATAAAATTCTTGGTCTTTGACAATATGGCTGGATTGTAATCAGTTTCATTTTCGCTTAAGTCGTCTGATTGTGAATCGCTTGGTGGTAGATAGTCTTCATCTTGTTCATTATCACTTGTAGTATTAGACTTTGTTTCAAGGTCATAAAGGTTGAGCTATTATTATTATTTAGCTATCTATTTCTGTGAGAACATCCTTTTGCTTTTCCATAGCTTGTTCAGCAGCTTGTTCTACTGCTGGGTTATCAAAAAAATGTTGGTGGTCTGCATAATAATTGTGATCTGATAAATGAGTGTTGATATTTGCAGGTGGTGGTTGGGAATCAGAAGAAAGACAATAATTAGTAGTAAAAGATTCATTTGTTTGGGTTTCATCATTCACTAGGGTTCTCACATTGATACAACACTGTGTACTAACATCATGGCTGAGAGGCATAGGATCATTATTTCCAGTGGCATTACATGTGGTGCTTGTATCCATAGGTTGACAAATCTCAATCACTTGGTCACATCAACTGATTCTTTCCCATCTTCTTTGGTTTGATTTTCGTCCAATAATTCTTGCACTATCTATACAAGTCAATCAAATCATTATTTCTCAGGGTCAGGTGGTATTCAGCATGTTGGAAATATACAGAGTTTGGTGTCAAAACCTTGCCACCAAGTAGGAATTTGGAATCAGCATTTGGTCATACCGGTAACTCTATTACTCCCCCCTTAAATAAGCCCCCCCCCCAGTGAGCCCCCTCTCTAATAAGCCCCCCTCTCCAATAAGCTCCCTCCCAAAGGTGCCTAAAAAATACAGTTTACAGTAAGTACTTTATAGAACCAAGAGTGTTGACGACCAATGTTTTCCACGATATAAATTTCCAGTGGCTACTAACAAGTTTATAAAACCAACCACATGCATTATGTATATATATATATATATATATATATATATATATATATATATATATATATATATATATATATATATATATATATATATATATATATATATAAATATCAAAAAATCATAAATCTTCAAAGTAAATAAATTATATTTTTACGTTTCGGGGACAAGCCCCTTCTTCAGAATAACGCTACATCATCTCCGTCTCTTACTTAAATAGTCTAACGTTTAGCTAAGCATAAATTAATTAAACCTCTTCCCTTAAATTAAGCCCACATGGGACATAACTATTTAGTTTCTCAATCCAAAAACTCTCCCTCTCAGTGGGGTTATTAACGTCCGTGACGTCAATAACCTGCACTAAAAAATCACTTAGACCTGAATGTCCCTCCCCCAAAAAATGGGCATACAATTGTTGCCCACAAATATTTCTCTGCCCCCGCCCATATCTATTTAATGCACTCTTGTGGTTATTAAATCGCAATCTGAACGGTGTTATGGTATTCCCCACATATTGCAACCCACAGAATTTACAACTAATCAAATACACTATACCCTCCGAGTCACAATCAAAGCGATGATTAATGCAGAAAGACCGCCCTTCAACATGGCTTTTAAAAGTAGCACCATATACATATATATATATATATATATGTATATATATATATATATATATATATATATATATATATATATATATATATATATATATATATATATATATATTTTCGTTTTACCTCAAAAAACCACAACAGTCTGTTTCATCCATTGTGGTTTTTTGAGGTAAAACGAAAAACTATATTACGCTCTATATATATGGTATTGAGCACTGTTTGTGTTTCGTAAACCAAAATCTTAAGCTATATATATATATATATATATATATATATATATATATATATATATATATATATATATATATATATATATATATATATATATATATATATATATGTTGTCGTTTATTGTTGCAACTGATCTATTATATACAATTAAAAAGATAAAAAAGTATACTGAATTTTCGGTCGCTAACTGCGACCTTCCTCAGAGTTAACTAATGTCAAGTTGATTTGAACAAGTTTTAAATACTTAGCGTATGCAAATTTACAAGGTATGCAACAAAGGCAAATAAGTTTGCCGGAAAATTTTACGCTCATATATTAACTGCCATTGTCTCCTTTGTTGAGTGTAATGACTCGAGAAATATACGTTTATCATAATTATGTAAGCCCCTCTCTAAAATTTCTACATCCCCAGAGCATACTTCGTGTCCAGTTCGTTCTGCATGTTCCTTTATAGCCGACTCAATCTGCGGTCTTGTTCCCGGTTTATGTTCAGCCGAACGGAATTTCCATGGTCTTTTACTTTCTCCAATGTAAAGGAAATTACATGTTTTACATTTGAATTTGTAAACAATGCCTTTGACTTGAGTTTCTGATGGTCTGTCTTTCGGTTTTTTGAATATTCCGCCCAATGTTGTTAGTGGCTTATACGCTGTTCTGATATTGGCACCAGTCAAGATTCGGTTGACTCTCTCAGAAACGCCTTTGACATATGGAATACATGCATAACCTTTGGGCTCAGTAACAGAAGTTGGTTTGTTCGAACTTTCGGGTTTACTTGCAACACTGTTTATAAAAGCAGATGTGTAACCATTTACACTTAAGGCCTTTCGAACATTTTGTTTCTCAGCTTTCTTCCCCTGGATAGTATTCGGAATTTTATCAGCTCGATCAAGCAACGTTTTAACCACTGTAGCTTTGTGTTGTTTTGGATTGTGTGAGTCGAATGATAAATATTTGTCCGTATGTGTAGCTTTTCTGTGTACAGCCACCACCACGTTTCCGCATGGTCTGACAACAACTTCCGTATCCAGGAACGAAATGACGTCATTATCGCCCACCGTCGTAGGTAACTCAATGGTGAATTGAATGCATGGGTTTATCGAATTCAAATGGTCGTGAAAACTTTGAACCCAGCAACGTTTTAGACAAGAATTGGAGTCGTCTACATAACGTTTCCACCATTTCAAGTCAACTGGCGATGTCGTTATAGCTATTCCTTCGACTTCTTGCATAATAAGTTCCGCGATAACGGCACTCACCGGCGATCCCATGTCACACCCTGAAATTTGATGAAAAAAGTTTCCTTGAAATTTGAAAAAACTGTTGTTCAAGACAAATACCAGAAGATTTACGACTTGTTTAGCAGTCAAAAGTGTACATCCTTTCCATTTGTGGGATTCAGAAAGTCGTCGCTTCACTACATCCACAGCCATTTTTACGGGGATGGAAGTGAATAGTGAAATAACATCAAATGATACAACCATTTCATCTTTCTCAACTCTCTGGGTACACACAAACTCCGAAAAAGCTTAAACGAAAACATGTCTCTTACTGATCGCACAACCAGCATATATATATATATATATATATATATATATATATATATATATATATATATATATATATATATATATATATATATATATATATATATATATATATATATATATAAAATACCTCATTTCTCTCTCGAACCCGGCATCTCATTTCGCTTGATACCCGTTGTTTCGTTTTTGGCACGTTTTCACTGTGCTTTAGGAACTGCATGTGGTTTCAAAATTTTCCTCCCTGTATGGCCGCACAACTTTTCAGCAAGTGAACATTCGTAACTCTTTAGGCTAAAATGATCACTACATACAAACGAATGTTTAGAATCTCGAGGATTATCCCGACGAACTCTTTGAAGCCACAAACTCTTCATATGGTTAGTAGGTACACGGTGGTAACTGACACCTGTTCCTTTCGTTTTGCGCCAGCCATTTGTACAGTTTGGCACCATGCAATGAGGCATTTTGTAAGACGTTTGTGTAAAGCCACAAAAATGTACAAATTACGAAATTTATACAATGAAAAAGCAGATTCTTGTACTGTTTTGAGACATGAACTATTGCATGAAGCACGCCTGTGACGTCATAAAACTGACCGCTGACAATTATTGCGCCTACGAAAAAAGGCAATATGGCGACTTTCTATTTGCAATTTTTCGAAGTAAAGCATATGGAATATTTAGCAAACGAAAAAGAATTGAGACAAAATAATTCGTACCGAAAGTCATCAAGGTAAGGCGGCCTTTTATATGAACTAAACTTGTTGTGGGGGTAGACTTCCCCTTTAAGGATTTCAGTCACTGAGTCACCCTTCACACACGTTATAGTTATCAGGAAACAGTTCATGATCAGGCTTACCATTGTGCATTATATTTTCTTCAAATTTACTAGTAACGTAATCCGTGGAAGGTCCTACATTCTCAACATCCCAAAACGTTAGTCGTAAGTTAAGTCGTGAATCATTACCCTCATCTACATGTTCCACTGTAGTTCGCAGTAAATATGTCTCTAAACAGTGCATATCAGACGAAGCTGAACCTAAACGACCACTCATTACCCAGCCTACTTTCGTACTACTAGCTACAGGACCGTCCTTGCTTCTAATTACTTCACCAGTCATGAATATATGATAGTAATCAATACCAATTAAGATGTCCACTGGTAAATTTGCGGAACCTTGATGTTCAAAGTCTGCAAATTGCAACCCTCGGAACTCAGACAATCCTTGTACACTAGACAGATTTTGATTTGTTAGTGGGCTACATATAGTGGGAACACATAATGCTTCAATATAGGCCGTGGGATGAGCATGCAAAAGATGCTTAGAAAACGGATTCCGTTGCACCCCTCGTGGAACTACGTAATTTTCACATGAATAAATAGATAAAAACTTACTTTATCAGAATCCGTTGCTCCCCAAGCGAAACAGTTGCACAATTGGGAGAAAAATCCCTCCAAAGTTTGATATTTTCGCGCTTCGAAATATTCGAACCGCCATTGTTTTGATAGCAAATACGCATGCGCAACTCAGCCAAACTCGCCCTGCGCACGCGCACAACCAACGCACATGCTTCGAAGTGGAAACACGCTCAGTTATGCAAATAAACAATATGGCTGAAGATATTTATAAAACTCGAATATCCTCATGTTTTATGCATTTTGAGCGTTACGGAGCAACTTTGCAAAGTTACACGCCAAAGGCTTAAGAAATTTCTTGAGTGTAGGTCAAAATGGGCCAAACTTAAATGTCAACAAGCTGAAATAGCTAAGCAATCGTACTAGAACATCGATGACGGATCTGTCAATTCATACATCGAGAAGAACTCTGACACCATTAACTTAGAATGGAACCATCATATGAAATGCTGGAAGAGATTTTGTGATGAACCGAAGATCCGTAGATAACAGAGAAAAGAAGAAAAAGGAGAAGGAACTAGCTCTAAAACTATAACTTCTACCGAAGAATCACACGTGGAAGTGGAGGCAATAGAACCAAGGCGAAAAATTAATACACGTCAATCAGTCGCAGAAGCTATTTATATAAAGGCCCTGCCTATTAAAAAGAAACGCGCATGTACTCCCAGAGATATGTAATATTTGTGGAAGAGACGCCTCATGGTTCTCACTAGACAAGGTATGGTATTTTGATAGGTATAATACTAGCGCAATGTGCACAACATTCTCAGATTTGGTTTTAAAATATATTGAATTGTGATCAATTTAGTTTATATAGGGTAAAGTAGTTTCTATGCTACAAACATCCAACCTTGTTATTAGCAGATATTTAGTTTAATAATTTATTTTGTTTCACACCAGGTAACTAAGAAGAGAAGAAGAACCCACTCATGTTGGCAGAAACAATTGATGCTGGTCTTCTACGTACAGCTGCTGAGAGAAAGAACGATCAACAGATACTCATGCAAATCCAGGGGAAAGACTGTGTATCTCTGGAAATCCGCTATCACAAAGTTTGCTACTGCAATTATACAATATTTTTCGCCAGAGAGACGAAGAAGCAACGAGAGTATCAGTGTACGAGAAGTCTTATGATGTATTCTGTAAGAAAGTAATTGAGATGGAGGTCATCGGAAATAAGCAAATAAAGTATATGAAAGATTTGCTGGAGAAATTTGTTATCATTGCTGAGGACACTGAGAATGCGGATGCATCTAGATATAGAGCTTTTAAACTCAAGCAACGACTGATGAAAAGTTATCCCCAACTTGTGTTCTGTGTACCGAAAATGAGAAATGTTAGTGAGATTGTATATGTGGAAAATTTGGATTCTTCTGAATTGGTTGAGGAACATATGTCAATTAAGGGCCTGTTTATGTGGAAGCCGGGCTGGCCCGCTTAGCGAGGCAGCCCGGTAAGCGGGATGAATTTCTCTTGTGTTTATATGATAAACTTTCATCCCGCTTGCCAGGACAATTTTGTTACATTGTATTGTTTTGACAGTTGTTAAAAATAGCTTGTGGCGGTATTTTTGAACTTTCATCCCAGCAACCGGGATAGCCCGCTTGTAAATGTTTATATGGAGAAATTTCCATCCCGGTAAGCGAGATCTAGCCTGAGTAGCCTCTTTCAAATGAGATCTTGGCAACCGGGCCAGCCCGCTTGTCCATATAAACGCATGATAATTTTTACTATAAAAATAACTACACAGCGAGATCTTGCTTACCGGGCTGTCTTGCTTATCAGGCCAGCCCGGCTTCCATATAAACAGGCCCTAAGTCTGAAAACAATGATGAGGACTTTGATGAAGAGAGCTGTACCATTGATGATGATGATGATGTGAATTCCAACACAGAAACTGAGGGAAATTCTAAAGTCAATGAGTTACAAATTCTATACAATGTTGCATTGATTCTTCACCAAAAGGTGCAAGAAATACCAAAACTGAATCTTCCTTGGCCACCATTGGCATCTGATTTGACAAGGGATAATATTTCAAATCCGACTATGAGGTCAGGACTAGACTAGATTTCAAGTCCACACAATTTGATTACGTCCGAGGCGAATCAGAGGACTGGATCAAAATGTGAGGACTTGAAATCTAGTCCAGTCCGAATTGGAGGATTTGAAATGACATCTCATACGAATAAATCACTACTTAATTAATTTTGATCCAGTCCAAGGACTGAATTAATTTTAATCCAGTCCAAGGGCACTACAGGATCAATATACTTCATAAAGTATCTAGTATTATCATGTGAGCAAAATAAAGCAATATGGTTGGCTAATTTGCTCATGAATTATTAATGATTTGAGGTGAACAATGATGGTAATGCATGTAGGTATTATCAGTGGAGTAGATCAGTATTTATTTACTTATTCGATATTCTCATTCGGATCCACAGTATTTATATTATCAACACATATATCCCTCTTATGGACAGGGTTAACAGTATGGTCATGTCTGAGAAGCTAAAACGCACCCTGGTGGAGGAGCTGAAACTCACAGCAGCAAATCTATAAGAAAAAGTCAACTAGTATGGACACGAAAAACCAGGCTGAATCGTTCCTTGTTATTCTAGATAGTGGCTAAATACCAACTTATGTCACAATATAAATATAATACATGTAATAGTTCAAATAGGAGAAGTAGAACTTTACCAGACAAAAGCCAGGACAGCTTATTGCAGAATACATCTCGCCCTTGGCCAGGATCCAATAAGTGGGATTTTATTGCTCTGATGAAAATCTGGGTTCAAAGATGAAAACATTTCTTTCAATTATAGATAAGCTATAATGTTTTGTAAATGTTAATGAATTGTATATTTCCTCCCAATTTATCTTTTTTTATGATGAATTTCGAGTTTATATAAATATCCCCTTAAAGCCCGTGACGAACTGGGAAACACTGTTGTCATATTATTTGTCTTTCCAATCTTTCGATATGTCATATTGTCTTATCAGCGTCGGCAAACGGATAAAGAGTGTTTCATAATATGCTTCTGAAATCTGAATTTGGTAGGAAATAATTTGCTTTCTGGGAAGCAAGTTTTGCGTCTGCAATAAAAGCCAATTAAAAATCACGAATATTTCCGCGACATTGTTTCTTACGTTTGGCCAAGGCTTTAAGTTTAGCGAAATATTTAATTTGTTCCTTGATCGTGTGAATTGTATGCATATATATTTTTTATTCTCCGTCCTGTTTGATACAGGTGGGTTTTTTACCTCACACAAATTTGTATTGAATTAGGATGTTAATATAAAGTAGAATTAAACGTTAAAACGGTATTTTGAAACAATAGCCAATGAATTGAAGTGATTTAGCATATGAGCAAGCAAAATATACAATGTGTTTTTAACAATATTTAATGTGGGTGTATTTATATTACAAGGTTTGATCAGTATTCCGTGATTTTATTTTGTTGTTTTTGCGGAGGAAATCGGGGAAACCCCCCAGTGAGAATCTATTTTTATAGTCTGCGCGTGCGCAGTGCGAGTTTGGCTGAGTTGCGCATGCGTATTTGCTACCAAAATAATGGCGGTTCGAATATTTCGAAGCGGGAAATATCAAACTTTGGAGGGATTTTTCTCCCAATTGTGCACCTGTTTCACTTGGGGAGCAACGGATTCTGATAAAGTAAGTTTTTATCTATTTATTCATGTGAAAATTACGTAGTTCCACGAGGGGTGCAACGGAATTGCATCTTTTGGATGCTCATCCCACGGCCTAATACACATAAACGCATTGTCACATTTACTCTAAATCTTCAAATGAACTACATCCAACCTTTGAACCTCACTCTGACGAAAAGTCTTAATGATCACTTTCTCTGATCTTAATGCCTTCAACCTAAGTCTATTCCGAACCTTTTCCGATATATATGTCCGCTGACTACCACTGTCGAATAGTATTCTAGTACTAACTTGCTGAGACTCGTCCATGGGACGTATATCTGCTCTGGCTGTTTGCAATAATATCCCATTCGTATCACAACCAGTGTGGCCTACAAAGTCCTCTCTTTTATTTTCCTTATCAGTATTATCTTGGGCATCTGCAGGAGGTCTATGTGAAGTAGAAGTGCACATAGAGATATGGTGTTTACCACCCTTACATCTCCGACAAACATAGGAAGATGTACAATTTCTAGCTATGTGACCCTTGTCAAGACAAATAAAACACCTGTTATTTCTACGAAGAATAATAACCTTACGTGACTCTGGAAATGCCCTTCCTTATTACAATATGCACATGAACCTTTACTTGCTTGACTAAATAAGCCGCTTGTGGTATAGTGTCCTGCTTTCCTGTGCTTATTAGGCTCATTAGGTGGTGAATAATAATTTTCTTGTGCACTTAGTTCATCG